TGACTCAGAGACAACAGGAAGTTGACTGACTGACACACAGAATAAAGCTTGAAAAAGGAAACCTCAAAGCCCACCCCCAAAGTGACATACTTCCTCCAACAAGACCACACCTACTTCAACAAAGCCACACCTACTCCAACAAGGCCACACCTACTCCAACAAGGCCACACCTACTCCAACAAGGCCACACCTACTCCAACAAGGCCACACCTACTCCAACAAGGCCACACCCACTCCAACAAGGTCACACCTTCTGATAGTGTCACTCCCTTTGGGGCCATTTTCTTTCAAACCACCCTATTTGTGCGAGTCACTTGGTCACTGAGGGTGCTGCTCTTGGAAGAGATTAATGTATTTCTTCTTCTCTCAGGAAGTCCCACAAGAGTAGATCATTAACAAGCCTGGCCCCTCCCCCAGAATCTTCCTTGCTTTCTGTCTCACCATGTAAGCTCTGCCTATTGCATATTCATCTACTATGAGGCTCTCACCAAGGCTGAATACATACTGGTGCCATGTTCTTTGACCTCCAAAACATGAACCTGAAGTCACCTCTTCTCTTTATAAAGTACCTAGCCTTGGACATTTTGGTATAACAACCAAAAATATGCCCCTAACAGGAAGCAATTTAAATCCCTAACAATAAGGGAATATATAAACAAACAATATATCCATTCGAAGTCAAGAGCCACTAGTCCATGCAATAGCATCATTGAATCTTCTGTATGTATTGCTCAACATTCCATAGTATCTAAGGAGAGAATTCCCCTTGGAGTACAGCTGGTCTCTTCCTCCACTCCTGCTTTCTTCTCATTAATTCAGTTGTTTGGGGTACAGTTAAGATCGTCTTCAAAAAATGTACTCATTTTGGTTACTCTATCACTGACTGTGGCTCTGCTGGTAGAATGTAGCATGCATAAAGGCCCAGCTTGAGAACCATGTAGAAGCAAGTGTGGTGGAACTCAAAAAAGTACCATTTTAAAGTGCAGTTCGGTAAGTACAGCAAGTGTTCATGCCTACCATACCAATCAAGACAGAGCATTTCTAATGGAATTTCCAGAAAGCTTCTTCAAGTCTCTTTGACACGTGTCCTCTCTGCAGACGACAACAAAACTGCTTTCTGGACTATAAATGAGCTCTGCCTTCGGAGGAGTCTATAGAAATGGTAGCAAATGGCGCTTTCAATCACCAGTATGTTTATGGGCTTTTCCATATTGTGACATGTCAGCTGACCGTGACTTGTTAGTTCTGAGTTGACTAGACTGTGAAAGATAATGGGGGTACCTTGACTAACTTATTCCCTTACCTGTTGAGCCAGGCTATGATATGAATACAGATGGCCTCTAGTAAATGCAGATATTGAGTGCTTGGTCCCAGATGTTGGATTTATTTTGAGTGTAAGTTGAGGAAGTGAGGCCTAGTTGGAGGAAGTAGGCCTGGTGGACAAATCTTTGAGTGTATTTTGCCACACCCCCTTTCTGTATTCCCTTTTTTCTTCTTCCCGGCTGCCATGCTGATAATTGTTCTATTCCACCGTTCCCTCCTTGCCATGAAGGACAACCAAAACTGTGAGCCACAAGAGAAAGAAAAAGTAACTAACAGTTGGCATTTGTATTGTTTCCAGTTTTAGTCTGTTGTAACAAAAGCTGACACAAGGAGTGTGTGTGCGCGCGCGCGTGCGTATGTCTGTGTTCATGGACATGTTTTTCATTTTTCACTTATCTAGGAGCGGGATCGCTCAAGCCACATAAATATGTTTACCAAGCCATGAAACTGACTGATGGTTCTCCCAGATGATCGCACCATTTGATATTCCTGCCAGAGAGTCCAGCATTCCACTCAGTCCCATCAAGGCTTGAGATACCTCAGTCTCTCACATTCGGGCTATTGCTGTGGGTCTTAAAATAGCATCTTGTGACTTTACTTTTCTATAGACTTCTTTTAAAATGCAATCCTTATCCTTCCAGAAGGAGACCTAATACCTAGTAGGAATGAGGGCATCCAACTGAGCAAGAGTCTGCACTGGGATGATTCATGTGTTCAATCAACAAACAATTATTAGCCATGTACCACCTCTTAGATTCTAAGAGAGAAAAGTAGACAAACATGAACTCGGATGACTCTAAAGACTCAGTGTAAAGCAAGCAAGGTGTGAAGGACCCTAGAAAGCAAGTCTGGAACTCAAATATGATGCTATGAACGCCAGGGAGCTAGGGGTTGGTAACTCTGGAGGAAGCTGTGGGAGTGTCTGTCCTTACTCACCTGTGAGGAGAAGCATGTCCCCAGGAAGACTGTGTCTGCTGCATTCAGAGTTGCCTCATGTCTCCCCTGCTCTGAGCCACTTCTGATTCTCAAGTCCAAGTTTGGGGAAGCTCAATCAGCCTCCCCGCCTCCCCCGGCCAAGGAGGCAGATCGCTATCCCTGCCTGCTTCTTCAGAACATGTTGTTCCCACTGCTTGTGACTCGTCATCAGAGAAATAGTCTCTGTGCTGATGGAGTGTCTTTTAAATGAAGCACTAGGGGATGTGGAACTGGTCATTAATTTTAAGTGTGTCTATTGTTAGTAAATGATGTCACCATTGAGCTTGCCAAACTGTCACAAGTAGTCTGGATGTCTTTCAGGGTTCTGTAGGAAAGACAGCTCCATTCTGCAGCATCAGGCTCAAATACTGTCTGGATTGTGTGAGTGGCAGCGGAGCTTTGGGTACCCCTTGAAAATAACCCTGGCTCTTGGAAGCAAACATTCTGTCCCCATTACTCAGTCAAATCTCCTTTCTAAGGAGGAGAAATGGCAAGTCGCTGGCTATTAGTGATTATATAAATGTCAACCTCTGTCCTTTGGAGGCTCCTCCAGTCAGAAGTCATATCCTATTTATCGTGATGTGCCCTATGCCCTACTGATGATTTTTATTTTCTAGTTTTTGTTGATTGATTGATTCTCCATTAAGGAATGTAGGCTTCTCAAAGACACAGGCCATGTGACTGTACCCCTTATAGCATCCCTTGCACACACTAAAGGTGTATTGTCTATTGCTTGATAGAATAGAGCATGTCCCACTTTTTAAAAAAAATGGAATATAGAGTGTTCTAGTTAGCTTTCATTGTCAATTCGACATACCCTAGAGTCATCTGAGAAGGGATCCTCGATTGAGGAAATCCCTAGATCAGATTAGACTGTGGGCATGCCTGTGAGGGATTGTCTTGATTGTTAATTGATTGTAGGAAGACACAGCCAACTATAGGCAGCACGATCCCTAGGTAGGTGCCTCTGGACTAATAAGAAATCTAGCTAATGACTCTTTGGAACCCATTCCCTATGGTGGAATGCCTCACTCAGTCTTAATGCAGTGGGGAGGGACTTGGTTCTGCCTAAACTTGGTATGCCATGCTTTGTTGACTCCCATGGAAGGCCTTACCCTCTCTGAGGAGTGGATGAGTGTGGGTAGAAAGGAGGTGAGGGAGGGGGAACCATGGTTGGTATGTAAAATAAATTAAAATAATATAATAAAGAAAAAAGAAACCCAGCTAAGTATAAGTCAACCAGCAGGCCAGCAACCATACTTCTTTGGCTATGAAGTGAGCTCCTATTCCTGTGTGGAATAGAAAGTAGCCTCCCCCAAGTTCCTGCCTTGAGCTTGCCTTGACTTTCCTCAATGTATACTATGACCTAAAATTGTGAATTGAATAAATCCTTTCTTCCCCTTGCTTGCTTTTGGTTGGAGTGTTTTCTCACAGTGACATAAAGAAAGCTAGAACACAAAATAAGAGGATTCTATTACTAGTATTTTAGAACCATCTGGTAAAGTGTTCTGTACCATGTGCCATGTATACAACATACATACATAGATCACCATAACATCAAGTAATTAATTCCCCACAGGGGTCATAAAAACAGATTCTTTGTTTAGAATCTGAAGAACTGAAAAGGAGATGATTGATTGATTGATTTTTTTTTTTTTTGCCCTTAGGCTAACTGGAATTTGAACCACAGGATAAAGTATTTTGTGACAATTATTTCCAGGTTTTGGGGACAGAGGTGTTTGTGTTTTTGCCATGCTGAGATGGTTCCCAGTACCCTATTCATGCTAAGTACTCATTCTACCACAGAGCCACAGGCTCAGCCCCATCTTGATATACTGGAGTGGGGGAGGTTTGGTGGCACAGATTTGTAATTCCAGTACTTGGGAGGCGAAGTTTAAGGATAACCTGCATATATGAGACCCTGTTTCAACATGGGAGGCGAAGTTTAAGGATAACCTGCATATATATGAGACCCTGTTTCAACATACACACGGGGTGAGGGAGTAAAGTTTGAAAAAATAAAAAATATTTAAACATCTGTTATGCCACAGTTCCATTGCGGCCCCCCTTAGAAAGATTTTTTCCTAAGAGATTTTTGTTTTTCACTAAGTGAGTTTAAAATATGAAACTCTTTTAAAGACTTAGACTCACTATGTAGCCCTAGAATGCATTCTGTAGACTCAGTTGGCCTCAGACTCAGAGTGATCCACCTGCCTCTACCTCCTAAGTGCTGAGACTAAAGGTTTGAGCCACAGCATCCACCTTGACTTTAAAATAGTATGTCTAGAAAAATCACTGGTTTGGGTTATAACACTAATAAACTCACATACAAAATATAAAGATATATAAGAATGTAATTTTAAAAAAAAAAAAAAGTGGGGGTTGAGTTCCAGGACAGCCAAGACTACACTGAGAAACCCAGTCTCGAAAGCCCAAAAACATAGAAATAATAAAATAAAAAAGAACCCTATTTCATATTTGGAGCAGGAGTTTTGTATATTGACAAATTAGGGAAAAACAATCTGCTGCCTACTGTTTTCTCATTCTCTAGCTCTCCGCCACAGTCCCACAGCAGGGAAATCCGCTAAGAAAGAGCAGCCAGAGAGAGCTGGGACTGAAGCCACTTGGAGCCCCCATTCTTCAGGCAGAAGCCGTGTGACTCTTGCCTACCGTCCATCCCCGGCCACAGCAGCAGGACTCACCATGAAGAAGCAGGATCAGCATCCCTTGGCCTTCCTCACACCAGGTGGCTCAGAACCATTGAGCTGTAGGATCCCTACCTGGAAGAAGAAAGGGCAAGTCACCAACCAGGTGATAGGATTCCCAAGACTCATCCTGTCGGCACCTCCACGCCTGGCTATGCCCAGCCACTTTCCCTTCTAGTGTTAGACTAAGAGAAACCAGTGAGAAAAACCGGTCAGAAGCTCTCCCCAATTTCTCCGCATCCATCAGTTGGAAACCCTTCATCAAGCGAAGGCCCAACAGCAACTCAGGTATCACTCAGGATCCACAAGAAAATGGACGGTGGAAAGCATCTGTGGAGAACCCTTAAAAGGTCCATCTGAAATGCTGCTTACCATCCTGGGGGGCTGCCCCCAGCGCCCCCAGCCCCTCCATAGCCCAGGAAATGTTGCAATAGGAAATAAAGGCTGGAGCAGGGGGCACACAGACGACTGTGCGTGCAGGTTTGACTGCTTGCTTTGTTTTTTTCTGGAGATATAGTGGCTGGAAAATCCGCTGTATCAGATGAGGATTAGCAGAGATGAGAGAACGTGTCTGCCTTTTGAATCGCCAAAGCCAATGACAGATTTTGCTGACACACCAATCAATTTTATCCCCAAGCCGTGGCCACTCCAGGCTTCCTGCCCTCTCCATCTGCCAAGCCCCTTTCATTTCTTAAACCCTTCCCACATTCAGCCGGGTACCCTGACCCCAGCCCAAGCCCCACCCACCAGCCTTAAGCAGTCAAAAATCTGCTTCCTGATCCCAAATGGTATTATCAGTCTTTTCAACAAGGTCACATTATGTAATTTAGAGGGCTGGAGCAGGGACCTGGGAGTTTGACCTAACAGTTGAACAATTTGCCCAAATTGCCGACTGCTGATTTCATCTGTTTGGAGAGGTGGATGAGCCCCAAGCAGAAGGTGGCAGAGGCCCTTCGAAGCAGGCAAAGAGGCTTTGGTGTTAAGGCTTACAGCCATGCTTGGCCTAAGGCCATTAAGTCCAGTGTCGTGTTCAGAATCTAACTGAGATTGTACAACCCGGTAACCCTGGGCATAAGGTCTTGTCGCTGTGTTCGGTTTGTGAATGCGGCAGAGACGACAGTTGCAGCGCCTGGGAGCTGGTTAACTCAGGCGCCCCGCCCCGACCCCAGACCTTCTGATCGGGACATTTTTATGAGTATGTGAGATTCCTCTGCCTGTAAGGTTTGCCGAGACTGATGTCGTGTGGAGGCAACAGGAGCAGATTCTCTGGTCACTCGGCCACCGTTCAGCTATCCTCCATGTGCCTGGTCCCAGTAGCTCCTCCAAGGCCTAAGCGGAGGTGCAGGGTGGCTGGTGCCCCTTTGTGAAACATCAGCCCCCGGAATCCACAAAAACATGCTAAATTCTGGCTCTTCTGGGAGGAAGCTTGACATTCCCTTCCCATAATAAGAGCTCTGGTTGTGAATCCAGCCATCCTAGGTCATTGTACTCTGGGAAATTATTGTTTCCTTACACTTGGAAAGCCAAAATATGACTGACTGAATTGGTCTAATCTCTGATACGAAGGAACTAATGGGAATGGGATAGGTGGAAGAAATGCAGGAAAGGAAACATCTTCCCCAAACCAGATAAAGTCTTTATCCCTAGTTTAAGTGAGAGTGGTAGACATAGTCTTTGTAACCCCCACTGTTAGGGGGGCAATGAGGTCCGAAGGCCTAACATAAATTATGCAAAATTAGGATTACAGGAAACTACATTGGTAAACAAAGTATCCAACCCCGGAACCACCCTGTTCCCCACCCCACCACCACATACCTATATACGCCTCCCCTCCCCAGTCAAGAGCCATGCTAGAACTGCCTGGAGACAGAGGAGCAGGCACAGAGTATCAGAGATGCTAATGAGACGGGTGGTCCATTAAGTTGTGTGTAGAACCACGTGCAAAAGAGCATGGTCAAAGAAACCTGTGCTGTACAAAGCTCCAAAGCCCACACTATGGACCATAAATGTCTTGTCCTCGTCCTAGTACAGAGCCTGCCATTTGTGCTGCTAAACTTTTCCCTGCTCTAGCTTCCTCCCTCGAAAGTGTCTTTTTCTTTTAAAGAAAAAAGATTTACTTTTTCAACTCCTTTTTAGTTATGCGTAGGTGGATGTGTCTGCATATGGGTACATGCACGTGGGTACAAGGAGGCCCGGGGCATCTGTTCCCCTGGAGCTGGGTTACAGGTGGTTGTGAGACGCCTGCCATGGGCACCAAGCATCCAACTCCAGTCTCTGGAAGAGCAGCAGGTGCTCTTAACCTTAACTGCTGAGGCATCTCACCAGCTCCCAAGTGTACCTTTTCTAATGACCCACTCCTGTTTCTGCCACCATGTGTCTCTGCTATAGCTCTTTTCTGCAGCACAAAGCCTGGAACCCCTCTGGAGGAACCCGCCAAACCCTGATACCCACCAAGATCACTTCTCTTGAGGCATCCCAGTGAAGTCTCCGTGCCTCTTCTCTCCCCACTTCAGCCCACCAGAGTCTGAAACACAGTTATAAAATGTGCCTGGTCACACTGCCCCTGCTGGTAGCTTATCGAGTCCTGTTTGCCTTCATCATCGAACCTACGGGCCAACAACTCTAGCAGAAGCGTCTTCCTGAGGAAACTGCATCTCCCCAGTGAAAAGGGAAGGAAACGTTGAGGAACAAGTAGCCTTTATCCGTCATCCGTGCCCTACTGATGGAACAGCCTAACTCTACTTCAATATTAGAAGCTATCTTCTTACAAGGTCAAAATATGTTCATTCCTGTTTTCCTTCAAACTTAAATTGGACCATGTCTTAACCCATTTGCTGGAATTTGACATGTTCCGTACTCTATGCCCTGACATTCACACTGATAAGCTAAGATGTTCTGCCAAATAATTTTGAAATGTTTGGCCAAATTTCCACATAACCAAAATATCCCCCTGGCCCTTGGAAACCTCCTAGTTTTGCAGGTTTTTTTAAAGCTATATAAACCCCATTGTCTTCTGTGTTCATGGCTGTGTCTCAAACCCTGCTTTAGAGAGAGAGCCCTGTCTGAGAGAAAATAAAGCTTGCTTAATTCAACTACAAGAATTTGGACAATGATCTTTACTCTCGTGCAGTGGTAGTAACACTATCTGTAGTGAACAGGCCTGTGTGCACACATGTACCCAGGGAAGTCTCACAACACTTTGTCTCAATTAAACAAATGTAGAAAGCCCTTCTTTGTGTAGCTTTCTGGCTTGTGGCGTGATCCATTTGACAGTGGGAGGGAGGAAGAGTGTGGGAGTGAAAATGTGAAAGAGCGGTGGTTCGGAGCCATTGCACCTCCACCCGTCTTCTAAAGGAAGCGTCCTCAGAGGAGACAGGATAGTGTTTCTGTGTTATTTCTGCCCACTGGATTAGAACTGGCCACAGTTGACAGGAAATATAAAACTCTGCTTTTGCAGAGACTTTGAGGGTGACAGGACCTTTTATAGCACAGTTGCGTGTGATCCGTGGACCTAAAATGCCAAGCACTTACAGTCATCAGAGCCTGACCTGGGACAGTAGCTGTAAGTGCGTTGTCACATGTCAAAGAATACTAATGACACAGACTCTTGTGAGAACCTGCAAAGCAGAGACAGGCTTTAGTCTGAATTATTACAGAAGAGTGAGAAATGGAGGAAAGGGGAAAAGTTAAGGAAAGTGGGAGAAACACCTGAGAATCGGGGAGAAGCTTAGAAGATGGGGTGGAAATCTGTTGAGTTCCCTTTTTCTAGAGTTTCTATGGGGCAATGGCAGAAACTGGACAAAAGACTAAGGAAATCTCTTCTGAGACTCATTATTTCTCCAGAAGGGCCCACATGCTCTAAGCCTGCTGCCCTGGCCCAATGGGGAGTCAGTCATGTGCTATTTATGTACTACCCACCTACTTAGGAGTAGTTGAAGCTCCTTTCTGTCTCTGACTCCAGCTTTGACCTTGACTGTCTACTAGCTGTTGTTACAGAAATTCTGTTTACGTCCTGGTCTGTCTACTAGCTATTGTTATGAGAATCCTGGTCCGCTGTCCAGTTGAATAGAGCGTTTGGTTTTAGAGGTAGAGTTCACATCCAGCTGGTCGGAATGGATCAGTAAGTCCTGGATAGACCCAAGATCTATTCAGAGAGAGAAAGAATGCTCCAGGGAGAACAGGCGGACCAGAAGGTTGTACTGTCTTTGTGTGTGTGTGTGTGTGTGTGTGTGTGTGTGTGTGTGTATGTGTGTGCCGGAAGGCAAATGGTAGCCGGGTGTATCGTGGTCGTAGGGACTGTATCAGGTTCTTATCTTATATTTGTCCCTAGATTTTATAAAATAATAAATGGTGAAATCTTATCATCTTAGTCATTTGGTCAATGTTCTAGTTTCATTCTGTTGCTGTGACAAACACCATGACTGAAAGCAACTTAAGGGAGGAAAAATTTACTTGGTTTATACTTCCGAGACACTGTTCATCACTGAGAGAGGTCAGGGCATTGACTCAAGCAGAAATTTGAAGCAGAAATCATGGAGGAGTGCTGCTTGCTGCCTTATTCACAGGCTCGTGTTTAGCTAATTTTCTTATACAGCCTAGAACCACTTGCCCGGAGAGTGGTGCTGATGTTGGAGGGCCCAGCCCACTATAGATAGCATCATTCCCTGGGCAATGGTCCTGGTCTGTATACAGAAACTAGCTGCACATGAGCCTGTGAACATGATCAACCTGTAGCTTCACCATGGCAGAGTGTTAGCTCAGTACCAAGATACAGCTGCAGTCTTTCTTAGTTACCTCAGATTTAGCTCCTTATCTAGGCAGTGCTGTGAGGTAGTCTCCCAGCTAGCAGCTTCTTATTAGAAGCCATCTTTGCTAACAATTAAGCCTGTTCATTAAAAGCAAAACTCTGTGAAAGGACAATAGTGTTTTCCCTGTGTTGTTGAAGGGCTTTGGCGGGAGCAGGGCAGCCTGAGGTCACTGAGTCAAAGCCCTGTCTTTCCTCTTATCAGTCTAGCATCATTATCTCACATCCAACTACAAGTATTCTTTCTCTTCCTCAGTTTCTCAGATGCTTACATTTTAACCCTTAATCTTCCTTTTAATCCCACTCTCTTTTCTTGATGCAACATATGTAAACAAGTTCCAGCCCTCACCATGGGGTCCTTTTACCCCCACCCCCTACAGAATATTACCGCCTATCTTAGGTTCCTGGCTTCAGATGTTCAGAAAGACTCCTTGAGGGCTCTCAAGGACTAAGCCACATTAGAGTCCTTTACCTACAGCCTGACTTCGCATGCATACACATATCCCATAGAGACTAGACCATTGTGAAGGGCTAAGATGTGTGCACTACTGGCATGTTTAGCCTGACACCAAATAAAATTAAGAAGCAAGGAGTCCTGTTTCCCTTGTTGAGAGGCAGAGACCTGTAAAGGAAAGAAGTCTCAGCCATAATTCAGCCCTTTATTTATGGATGCCAAGACTGGAGCATGAAATGTTCTCTGTCTCTCATTCCTTCAGAAGTAGATCCTGAGACAAGGGCACAGATGGAATTACTTTCTTTGGGAGGTGATTGACAGACGCTCCACAGGGGAGCACGGGGGTTGGAAATAAGGCACTATTGTCAGGCACCAAGAGCTAC